ACACACCAATTGGAGAATTGTGCTCAGCGAGATTACAAGATTTGTCCCATGCTTCCAAAATGCAACTATATTTCATGACTGGATTAAATATGTGTCATGCCTAAAGATCAAATATTATTAATGTCTAAAGCAAGAAAAAATATTACCAAATAATTCAATTAGTTTTTGTTTATACATCTGTTCCCAAATCTAATTGTTTGCTGGCAAAACTGTTTGGCCTTGATTATGATCATTAATGAGCGTGCTTGCATTTCAAATCAAGGAATCAGTCTCTCAAACGGCTTTAACCAAATAAAATAAAAATGTAAAATAAAAAGAAAGCATAAGAAATAATTTATGAAGTTATTACTTTTTATTCCCTGATTTATATATATCAACTTAGTAAGTTATGATTTTTAGTTTGAAATATTGTTGATTTTTTAATGGACTTTGTATTTTAGAGTAGTTTTAGGTTCACCATCTTATATATTTTACACCAACTCTTTACATATATAATACATTTATATATTATTTTAAATATTAATATGTAAATATATATTTATATAAATGAATATATAATATATAATGTATGTATATATACATATTGTATATAAACATATAATTTATATAAAAATAAATATATGTTAAATGAATCTACATTACTTTGGAGGGCCATCAAAATCTTAGATTTTTCTCATATAATATCTGAAAATTTAAACATAAATTTTCATTTAAATCTTTTAAAAATAAATAAAATATCATATTTCATATAGATACATGTGATTTATACTGACAGATCTATACTAATATATAAATGGTCAGTTCTCATTTTTCTAGCAGCAAAACTCTTACTAATGAATTACAGTCAAAGAAAGAAAGACTTTTGCAAAATAATACTTCAGGAAGAAATACTAAATTCATAGAGCTATTGGTTTCAATATTCTAATACAAGGATGAAAAATTAATAATGTAGTTAGGAGTATGGACTGAAAAAGCAGGCAAAACTTATTCTGATTTTCTTCCAATCTCTTGCTAACTATATGGCCTTAGGCAAGTTATTTCATTCTCTGAGGTTCAATTTGCTTGTCTGCAAAATAAGAATAATAATAGCACCTATGTCTTAGTGTTGATGGGAAGATTAAATAAGAAAATACGTGTAACATTTTTAAAACACTGTGTGGAACATGGTAGGTGTTTAATGAATGTTATGAGATTTTGTTATCATTTCTACAAGAATGTCAGCTTCATGGTGGCAGTTTCTTTCCCATCTTCTTCTCTATTGGATTTCCAGTACCTAACACAGTGCTGCATAAATATTTGTGGGGTGAATTGACTTATGTGACAGATATCCAAAGGTCTAGTGGAGCAGTTTACTGATTTTTGTCACTGCTTCTAATCACACTTGGCAGCTGGACAAGTAACTCAAGGTGAATTTTTAATAAGAACTTTATTGAGATATAATTCTCCCATTTAAAATATACAATAAAATAGTTTTTAGTACATTCAGAGTTGTGCAGCCATCACAATAATTAATTTTAGATTATCATTACCCCAAAAGGAAATTCTATAACTATTAATAGTCACTCCCCATTAACTCACAAACCCTCCTCCCCAGCCCCCTACCACCAATTCACTTTCTGCCTTAATGGATTTGCCTATCTTGGACATTTCTTATGAAAAGACTCATGGGACCAGTGGTCCTTTGTGACTGATTTCTCTCATTTAGCGTAATGTTTTCAAGTTTCATGAATGTTGTAGCATGTATCCATACTTCATTCATTTTCCTGGCTGAATAATATTCAATTGTATGAATATAGCACATTTTTTTTTAAATTTAAAATTTTTTATTTATCAGTTGATGCACATTGGGGTTGTTTCCACTTTTTAGCTACTATGAATAATGTGGTTATAAACATTCACATACAAGATTTTATGTGAAAAAATGTTTTCATTTCTCTTGGGTACATACCTAGGAGTAGAATTGCTGAGTCATATGATAATTCTATGTTTAACTTTTTGAGGAAATGCCAGACTATTTTCCTACTACCTTAACAGCAGCTGCACCATTTTACATCCCACCAGCGGCGTATGAATGTTTCAGTTTCTCCACATCCTTGCCAATACTATGTCTTTTTTTATTATAGCCATTACAGTGTGAAGTGCTATGTCATTGTGGTTTTGATTTGTATTTCCCTAATAATTAATTATGTTGAGCATCCTATTATGTTCTTATTGGCCATACGTATATCTTATTTATACAAATGTACATTCATATCTTTTGCCTTGCTCATTTTTTTAAAATATGTTTTTATTGACTTCAGAGAGAGGAAGGAAGAGGGAGAGGGAGATAGAAATATCACTGATGAATGATGAGAGAGTCATTGATCAGCTGCCTCCTGCACGACCCTAACTGGGGATCTAGCCTGCAACCTGGGCATATGCCCTGACCAGGAATTAAACCGCAATCTCCTGGATCCTAGGTCAATACTCAACCACTGAGCCACCCCTGGCCAGGCCACCTTGCTCATTTTTAATTGTGTTATTTATCTTTTTATTATTGAGTAGTAAGAGTTCCTTATATATTCCAGATACAAGTCCCTTATCAAACATATGGTTTGCAAACATTTTCTCTCATTCCATTTTGTTGTCTTTTCATGTCTTTGATTCACAAAAGTTTTTAATGTTGATCCATTCAACTTACCAATTTTTTCTTTGGTTCTTTATGCTTTTCATGTCATATTTAAGAACTATTGCTTAATTCAAGGTCATGAAGATTTACACCTATATTTCTATTAAAGAGTCTTATACATTAGCTCTTACATTTGGGTCTTTGACCTATTTTGAGTTAACTTTTTTATATAGTGTAAGGTAGGGGTCCGAACTCATTCTTCTGCATGTAGATATCCAATGTCCAAACGCCATTTGTTGAAAACACTCTTCCTTCTTCACTGAAATGCCTTAACACCCTTGTTGAAAATCAATCAAAAATAAATGTAAGGGTTTATTTCTGGTCTCTCAATTCTATCCTATTGATGTATATGTCTATCCTTATGCCAGTACCACACTTGCTGTTTCTTGGTATTAAGTTTTGAAATTGGGAAGTGTGCATCCTTCAACTGTGTGTTTTATAAGATTGTTCTTGGCTATTTGGGGTCCCTTGAATTTCCATATAAATTTTAGGCTCATCATTAAATTTCTGCAAAGAAGCCAGCTAGGATTTTCATAGGGATTGTATTGATTCTATAGATTATTAGTTAGGGTAGTATTGCTACCTTAACAATATTTTCTCCTGGGTGATGAAGATGGGATTTCTTTCCATTTTATTTAATTTCACTCAACAATGTTTTGTATTTTTCAGTGCACTAGTCTTGTACTGCCTTGGATTAAACTTATAACTAATCATTTTATTCTTTTTGATGCTATTGGAATTAAAGGAATTGCTTTCTTCATTTCATTTTTACATTGGTCACTGCTATTGTACTGAAACACAACTGATTTTTGTATATTTGTCCTACAACTTTGCTGAACTCCTTTATTAGCTCTAATGGTCATTCTTACTTTCCAACCTTGATGCCATTTATTTGTTTTCCTTGCCCAACTGCCTTGGTGAGAACTTCTAGTACAATGTTGAATAGAAGTTGTGAGGGCAGACATCCTTGTTTTGTTCCTAATCTTAGGGGGGAAGTCTTCAGTCTTTCATCACTGAATATGATGTTAGCTGTGGGGGGTTTGTAGATGCCCTCCATCAGGTTCAGGAATAAAGTGAAATTTATTTGAAACTAGAAGACTGTCACCAGTAATAGACATCTCAGACCCAGTTGTACTTCTTCTTTTCTGGTGTGACACACTTCTTCTGCTTCATATTCTCCAAACAGAGGAGAATGCCTGAAGGGACAGATTTATACCTTATTCTGGGTTTCAAACTGGAACCATTTCACTTCAGCAGTGTTTTGAAATACAACCCACTAAGAATTGTACAGATACTTAATAATTAATGTGTCAAAAATAAGACAGCAGGCTTTCTTTGACCCATGACTTTTATTTGGTTCGATGAAATCTGGGTTTTGCCAGTACAACTCATCTTTTTCTTGGTGGGAGAACAGGAATGTGGGGAGAGCATAGAGGATTCTCTGATGCATGATGCCTAGAGAAAAAGTAGCATGTATCACAAGACTGCCTAGGTTCAAATATTTGCTTGGCCACTTACACGTTTTTTAAACTATGTAACCTATACGTACCTCAGTTTCTTCATTTGAAAAATGGAGATGATGAAAATAATAATGAAGACAATAATAATAATACCTACCTCATCAGGCTGTTGTGAGAAATAAATGAGTTATGTGTAAAAGTATTTAGAACAGTTCCTGGCACTAAAATAAACTCAATTTTTGTACTCGCACTTAATCAATAGTAACAAGTGGCAAAGACATAAGTTTGAGAGCCAGATAGATCCAAGTTGAAATCCCTGCTCAAATTATTTTACTAGCTATGTGGCTTCTGACAAATTACTTTATCTCTCTGAGCCTTAGTTTTTGTGTTCCAAATAGGAAACAGAACCTACCTTGCAAGGTTATTAGAAGGAACAAATTAGATAATTCAAGGCTAATGAGGTCCTATCACAGAACTTCTGCTCATTTAATAGTTCAGGCCTGGGGCTAAGAGAAAATATCATTGGAGGCTTTAGTTTACTAAAAAATTATTTGTAAAATTATAAAAGTAACATATACTTGTAAAAAATTAAATTTTACAAAAGCATGTAGTGAAAAGTAAAAATCTCTTTTTACACCCATTCCCCCACCCATTTCAATTCTCTTCCAAGCAATAACTATAACAACAGTTTAGTGTATATCCATCCAGACTTTCATCTGTTTATATCAATACATATGATTATATACATAAGAACACATATACACATATATATTTCTACATAAATTATACCTTACTATATATACTATGGACTTTCTAATTTTACTCAATATCATATCTTTGACATCTTTCCATTTGAGTATATAGAGACTTACCACATTCTTCTTAATGGCTGTTCAGTAATCCATAGGATGGATATGTCAGTGGCTTATTTTGAAAACTCTTCATCATTCTCAGGATAACATTGTGAGTCTCCAATTGCAGTGTACTTCTTTTTCAAAGCCTGTATTTAACAATATAACATATAAATGTGCAATTTAAGGCAAATTCATAGTTTGCATGGATAGTGAGTGTTTTGTTGAATTCTCAGTCATACAGACATAATGGAAAGCTAAATATTCATGCAGAACAGAATTTCTTTAGCTAGGTCAGAAGGAAAAACAAGTCACTCAAATTATTACTATCTTTTGAATTTTTGTCTTTCCTGGTGGTTTTTAATATTGAGAAACTAAAAGAAAAAGAAGACTGGAGTGGATAAATATCAGTAAATTTAACAAAATCTTGGGAAGCTTACTAAATACAAAAGTAACTGTTGATCTGATGAATAAAACACAGAAGTAACTATAATAATTAACTTTTTGTACTGAGAAATTACTATAATAATTACTCTTTTGGATGACAAACTAGCCCAAATAATTGAGAAATGCCAAAAATGATAGCCATGTATTCAAAATAAATACATTTATATAAATAAATCCATGAAGGAGAAACTAAAATTAATGCTTTCAGAATAAACAAAATATATTGTGTCAATTTCCAATGGCCCCAAAATGTCTATGTGCTACTGATGGAGATTTCAGAATTCTGGGCAAGTATTCACAAAGTTCAAAAGTGTCATAACAGTAAAGTGATGTGGTTATAAGAGTAGAAATGTGTATAGATGAAATCACGGAAATGTCACTCACTGTAATATCTGAGCAGGAGGTTGCAATCAAGGCAATTAGCAATTAGAAAGTACAGGGCCCTAACTCCCACGGAATTTTTGGTTCAAGCAGCTCTGACAGCACACAGAACTGTTGTAAGATACTTTGTGAGAAAGCTTTGTCAGTGGTAATGCCTGCTTTAATGACATCTGAACACAGCTGTTTTTCTCCAAAGAACAGCAACACTTCTAAGCCTGCCAAATACAGATAATAAGGTGCTTACCTATCATTAACAAAATTACACTTTCCTTATTGACAGAAAAGACATGTTCACATTGTGAGAAGATTACGTACATTACAGAACTAGTGGAAAGCAATTGAAAATTATCATAAGGATGGCTGCAAAGCAGTGATTTCCACCCCTAAATGTGCCACCATCTAGGGTGTCTTCAATTATCCTAAGGATCATAATGAGCTTTTGAAAGCTTCTCAAAACAAAATTAAATACAAGTCACATTAATTTAAGATATTATGCCATACGACATTTTTAGGAAAAGAGGGAAATGGCATAAAATCAAGCTAACAATAAAAGTGCGTTATAAATTCCCATAAATTTGGGAGCCAACGATGGAAAAACTGGAACATTATGTAGATTCAGTGGTAGTTTTTATGAATTCAGAAAATTGTACCAAGGCACACCATCTAAACAGTTATAGTCAAGTGTATAAGTTTTCTATGTGCTTTGAAAGTGGGTACTCACATAAATAGTAATCCTTAAAATCTGTCTCCAACTTTTGGTTAATTTTTCTACTTAAGAGTTTCCTGAATATTTGAAGATATATTTCAATGCTAGTAACAAAATCATTAATTCATTGAAGAAATATTTATTGAGAGCATGCTATATGCCAGGTGCTGATTGAAAGTTTGTATCAGTCATGTACAGGTGTGCCTATTTTCCTGAGCCTTTCTAATAACGTTTAAAAATATCTTTAGCCCCAAAGAGGCTCACACCAAGACATATCATAATTAAAATGCCAAGGGTTAAAGGCAAAGAGAGAATCTTAAAAGCAGCAACAGAAAAGCAATTTGTTATCTACAAAGGAGCTCCCATAAGACTGTCAGCCGATTTCTCAACAGAAATGTTGCAGATCAAAAGGGATTGGCACAAAATATTCAAAGTGATGAAAAGCAAGAACTCTAGAACCAAGATTACTCTATCCAGCAAAGCTATCATTTAAAATCAAAGGATGGGTGAAGGACTTCCCAGACAAGAAAAAACTAAAATTCATCACCATAAAACCAGTACAACAAGAAATGTTAAAGGGTCTTGTTAAGAAGAAGAAGAAAACAAGAAGATCAAAAATATGAGTAACAAATGGCAATAAATACAGGGTGAGGCAAAAGTAGGTTGACAGTTGTGAGGACATGAAACACACCGTTTATTCTTGTATTATTAATTAATTACTGTATCATTTTCCACATGAGCAGTTGTGTACCTACTTTTACCCCACTCTGTACATATCCATCAACAATTACTTTAAATACAAATGGATTAAATGCTCCAATCACAAAATACAGGATGGTTGAATGGATAAGAAATCAAGACCCTTACATATGCTATCCACAAGAGATCGACAGACACACAGAGCCTGAAAGTAAAGGAATAAAAATGAATTTTTTATGAAAATGGAAACAGATAGAAAAAAATCTGGGGTAGCAATACTTTTACCACACAAAATAGACTTTAAAACAAAGGCTACAACAAGAGATACAGAAGGACCAAGCAATTCCAATTCTGGGTATTTATCCAAAAAAACCAAAATACTAAATGCAACCATATATGAAAAGACATATGCACCCATATGTTCATTGCAGCATTATTTATAATTACCAAAATATGGAAGTAACCTAAGTGGCCATCAATAGATTACTGTATAAAGAAGAAGTACAATTGGTAGTTATGGAATAGTCATGGGGATGTAAAGTACAGCACAGGGAATATAGTCAATAATATTGTAATAACTATGATGTGTTAGATGGGTACTAGATTTTTCAGGGTGATCACTTTGTAAGTTATATCATTGGGTTGTAGACCTGAAACTAATATAATATTGTACAACTGTAATTGAAAAATAAAAAATTATTTAAAAATAAAATATATTTAGCACTATCATTAGCATATTAGTGAAAACAGTATATTATCGTAGTTTATCACTTCTTTGAATATTAGTGAGATTATACTTTTTTATATGTTTATTGATCATATAACCATTTGTAGTTGCTCATATCCTTTGTGTGCCTTTCTACTGGTATTTTTACTATTGATTTGTAAAGGCTCTTTACATATTACTGTACCATCTATCTGACATTAGAATCTTTGAGTAGGAGCTTCTAGAGACAGCAAAATTTGCTCAGTAACTATTAGAGTTGAAGTCAGCTAATGTTGTCAAATATTTGTATAAGGTCTATGAGTATCCTGGAATCATTTTGATGTTGTTTACTTCTGTTTCTGCATTAAATCTAATTTTATGTACACTAAAGCAGGTTATGCCATAACCAAACAGATTCTACGAGCATCGAACAAGCAATATTGTTCAGTAGTCAACAGAGAAAAAAATTGGACTATTATCTTGCCAGTGATTTAAAAACAAGGCATAACAAAAAACTAAAAGAGGTTACTCTAGTCACCACCATCAATTTCCTCATTATTCTTGAAGTTGGTATTAACAGTAGCATCTTTGGAATATTTCAGCACTTTTTTAGTACTACATATATTTATTTATTTTATTTTTACTTTTTTATTTTTAAGTATGTCTTTATTGATTTCAGGGAGAGGAAAGGAGAGGGAGAGAGAGAGAGAGAAACATCAATGATGAGAGAGTCATTAATCAGCTGTCTCCTGCTTGCCCCCTACTGGGGATCAAGCCCACAACCTGGGCATGTGCCCTGACTGAGAATCGAACTTCGATTTCCTGGATCACAGGTGGATGCTCAACCGCTGAGCCATGCCAGACAGGCATTACTACATATATTTAGAAAGGACTTTGATGGCATCTAAGGCACACTATATCACCCTGCTTTAAAAAAACCTTAGCAGCCATAAACAATTAGGTCCTGGAGATTTGTGGATTTGACAGCATATTGACCTTTTCACCAGAAATGATGGAAACTAATTTGAGGCAATGCCAGTGCTGCTCAGTAACTTGAGCCATCACCCTCAATAACAGATACATATTGAAATTTCCATAGAATTCTTTTATCTCTGTGATTCAGGATCAATAAACATTTCCTGAGTACTTAATAGGTACCAGGTGTTTACATACAATTTTCCCTCTAATCCTCACTACTGATCTATTATATTGGTATCCTCACTTTCTTATGATTAAATTGTAACTCAGAGAGGTTGCCTGATTTGTTCATGGTCATACTAGTAGCTACTAAGTGGCAGAGATGGGACTTGAACCCAGATTTCCCAACTCTAAATTTAGGAGTCTTTTGACTGTGACATCTGCTCGCCTCAGCAAGTCTCGATGAGACATGTGAATGGCCCAGGCAGGCTTTATGTTCTCATGTCTCTTCAATATTTTAAAAATATTTGTTCAACATTTACTTAATGAAAGAGGAGACTGATTTTCTACTAATAAAAATACTATTTTCATTATGTTCAAAATAAGAATTCACAGCATGCACCTATCACAGTAACAGCTGTTATTTATTGAGCACTTACCATGTGTCAGGCACTGTGCTAACCACTTTAAATGCATTATCTCATTTAATCCTAGGAGTTTGGCATCATGATCATCATCATCGTCGTCATCATCACATCTCTGTTTAATATATGAGGACCAAACAGATTAAGTGACTTAGGCAATGTAAGTGGTGGAGCCAGGATTTAAGCTCAGGCAGGCTGACACCTTAGCCTATAAGCTTAACCATTACATTTTATTGCCTTCAACTATAGCAAAATTCCTAAATTGGCATTTTAAACTACTGATTTCTTACTTTCATTTATTTTCTTTTTTGTAATTCAAAACTGAATAAAATGGAAGTAATTTACAAGAATATAATTATAAAGTCACATTTAAAAGATTTTAGATTTTCCCCCTTGTTGTTTAGTTTTCTTGATAACAAACCATATCCTACTCTTCTGCAGTTCTCATTTTGTCTTTAGTTCCCTTTTGCAACTTTTCAAACCAGACTACTTTTAGGGAGTTGTATTAGAGGATTTAAATTTTAGATAAGAGTATAAACCCCTCATTCCTGATAAACAGCACTGTGGCATGCACTATTTTGTTTCACAATTTCAGCTGATTGAGGAGAGTTGCTTACTTTAAGCAACTCGGAGTTTGTTAATGCCACA